AGAGTCTGGCAGCGTTTGGCCTGGAGAACGGACAGCTTCCTGGGAAGAGGGGTGGAAAGGAACCATGAGCCCTGTCTTCAGCACTTGAAAAGCTGCTATGTTACAGAAAAATTAACTCTCACTTAGTTCATCCCTTAAGGCAGAAATAGTACCAACAGGTAAAGGTGACAGGGAGACATCCTTGGGCTCACGGAATCATAACAATTGAATTGCAGCAGCTGCCGTCCAGTGCTTTTCTGCTGTGTGCCAGTATCTTTACATATTAGCTGGTTTAATCCCTTTAACCAACTTCTGAATTAGGTGAACAGAAGACTCTTACAATGACCAAAGCTGACCCTCGAACAACAGTGACATCTCTTCTGGGTTGCTCTGAAAGGCATCTAACCCTACATTGGTATATCTTGCTAATTTTAGGAATCTGGTAACTAGGCCCTGCAGTCTTCAACAGCCCTGGCACCAGATGGCGCTGCCTCAAAAACGCAGACCAGTGGCATTTCTGGGCCTAGAAAAAAGAGGCACGGGTGAAGTGCTACAGGGGCCTCAGGAGGAGTTAGGCCCCCGGAGACGGTGGCTGGTCTGCCTGTGGCCACCCCCGTGCACTCACCCAGAGCCACCAGATGGGCCAGGCATCCAGCAAAGGCTTGGGGGACATCACTGGCACCAGCCACAACCTGGCAGGACTGACGTGGCGAAGCAATGCCTTCCACTGCTGAGGAAGGACGCAGACGTGGAGCCCCTCCCTTGGACCAGAAAACCAGTGCTCGCCGCAAAGCCCCAAGTCCTGAAGCAGACGGCAAAAACCATGAAGCTCTCATGCTGAGAAGGGCAACCTTGCACTTGAAAAAGTTCACTTAGACAAATCCTCAGGTGCTAATCCATTTCCTGCGACAGGTGAAGGCCCAGCTATCCCCGGACCTGGAGGTGAGGAGGCAGGCGGAATCTCCTTTCAGAGCGGCACACTGAAGAACGCAGGGGAACACAGCCTGCAGAGTCCAAACAGGGAAACCCTACCGGATAAACCGTCAGGTTCCTTCCACAACAACAACCCAGAAACTGCCAGGAAAGAAACTAAGATGAAAGAGGAGGAGGAGGACCACCTAGAGATTTTAAGACTTGAAAGATGGAGCAACCCACTGCAATGCATGGACCTAAGTGGGATCCTGATCTAGACAAACAAAATTAGGAGATAATTAGGGAAATGTGAACACTGACCAGCTATCCGACCATACTAAAGAAATTGTTTTAGGTGTGATAGTGATATGACGGTTACGTTTTTCAAGAGTCCTTGTCTTTAGAGACATGTACAGAAATAGTTACAAATGAAAAGCTACGATGCCTGGATTTTCTCCTAAACAACCCAGTGTAAAGGTGGGCAGCAGGGGCTGTGGATGAATTGAGACTGGCCATAAGTCGGCACTGGTGATGGGGGGTTCCTTCTATGTGTAAATTTCTCTGTAATGAAAAAGCGGAGATAAAGAAAAGAATACCTGGACTTCATGGACCTCCACGGTGGGCCTGTTGGAGGGATCTGATGGGGAGAAGCTGACATTTCCATTCAGTAAAGCATTTTATTACTTTCAGATTTTTTTTCTTTCCTAGGACCGAGGCCTAGGTTAAGGAAGGTCTGAAGATGCCAGTTTCAGACCCCTGCAGAAGCTTTGGAGATAGTCTAGTTGTGCTTCCAGACCAGTTCAGCCATCCTTCCTCACACAAGCTTCCTTCCTCCTGGCCCCAGGCTCCCCTCTGTCTCCAGCCACTGCCCTGGGACACCCCCTTCGGATGGAAGGCCATCGGCAGGAATGTAATACCTCCTCCCCATGGCAGTGCTCTCTGACCCTGCTCTGCCTCAACATCCCCTCCTAAATGGAACAGACACACAGCCGACATTCCTTCCCAGCAGGAAGGCCACCCTCACGCAGGGTGCAAAACACTCTGGGTGGCCTTTTAGGACCGCGTATTCTGGGAGTGGAGCTCCTGACGTCACACACACACACACACACGTCCTTTAGTCCCTCTCAACCATGCCACCTCCTAAAGCTTCATGTGGGACAAAGAAAAAGCACCCACAAGGGCCATGGATGACAGATGACAATGGTGCCTGGAGGGGAAGCCATGCCCCCCCATGCTTACCATCATGTCAAGTTTGCTTGTCATCAAACCTGGCACCACCAGCTCAGCCCAGATCAGGTTCTTCAGCCCAGTTTGAAAGGAAGGAAAGCATTTCTTTTAGAATCCAACCTACCTCTTGTCTGAGCCCTTGCCAGCCCAGCCCCCAACCCCAGTTTATACTGGAAGGAAGGAACAAGTGGCACCCTACTGAGTATGTCTTTGCGTGGACATGGAGAAGGAACGTCGTGCTATTGGACTGACACTGTTTGGGGGCTCAGCCAGGAGAAGACATTTTCTAGCAAACTGGAGTGGCTTAGAGAGAAAGCCATGCCCACTCCATGCCATCTCGAGGCCACTTACCCAAGGGCCACTGGTAGCCCATGCCTCACCAACTCACCCTCACTCCTTCAGTAAGGAATCCTTGAATTAAAGCAATTTCAGCAACAAAAATCCTACCTTCACTGAAACTATCTGGAGTCCAGGGACTTGAATTATAGACAAATTATAAGAAAACATCCTCAGTTCCCCACTCAGCTTTTGTCAAGGAACTCGGCCTCAGCTGGGACAGAGGTGGTCATGGCTGCATGCAATGCGGCATGTATTTACTCATATTCCTGGGCAAATCATCTCATTATGGCTAGGGGGCAAGCGGGGGCGCCTCCCTTCTCCTGACACCTGCCTGGTCAGTCCAGGACCCAGGTGGCTGGTCAGGAAATGGTCTCCATCATACATACTTCATCCTACCTCAGCCCCACGCTGGCAGCAGTCAAAAATTTGGCCTAAAATAAGAGAAGCCAGGGAAACAGCTCAGCTACAGGGATCCAGCTACAGAGCAAGGTAGGAGGAAGCCGGCTCAAAAGGAAGATGAGTATTAATTTCAACTTAGAGGCCCTAGTTCCAAAATCGGAAGGTGCGGAATCCCCTCTCGGAGGAGCTGACAGACACAAGCTCAAGGTTCCAAGTCTGCCCCAAGCCACTTCCAATACCACCAGGCACACACCCTCCCCACTCTGATTTGCTGAGTAGACAGAGAATCAGGGAATAACTTTTAATTTTTTCTTTGGTTTCTTTTCCAGAAAGAAAAAGGATGAACAAGGAAGAGGACCGGCAGTTGGTCATTCTTCGTGAGTGGGCCATGACAGTCACACAGGGCCAGGTACAGGCCTAGAAAGATCCATGGAGGGAGGGACAACAGGAGTGGGGAGGGGTATCCACTGCCTCCAACGAACTACCAGAGCCACCTCTCAGAATGAGAGAATGAGCTAGAAGAGGGGCCTCAAATACCACCTTTTCCTCCCCAGAGTTCTCCAACACATAAACTCTCAGTGCTAATCCCAGTCGAGGTTCCACTGCTGATGCAATGCTGAAAGTGCCCCAAAATTTCCTTTTCTGGATTAAGTCATACCTCTCCTCCCAACATCCCAAACAGGCAAGGGGGTAACCACAGCAGAAAAGTGAGTTGCTTTTCTTTTTTTGTGAATGAACAGGAAGGAAGATACACACACACACACACACACACATTTGCGGGAAAGAACATTCACTAGAGTTGAAGTTAAGCCACATTCTCTTACATTCGCATGAAGAGAGAAAGAAAGGGGGGGAAAAGGGGGGCGGAATACTGGAATGGTGGAAAGGGAAAAAAAAAAAAAACACAGAGAGAGAGAGAAAGGTTTGGTAGCCCTCTCATTACAAGTTGGTTGGGCATAATGTAAACACACTTCTGCCTTGCTTAATCACAGAGTGCCGCCCGTTTAGGTTTCAAAGGCGGCAGTAAATTGGGCGTAGCTGAGTGGAGGCTAAAAATTAACCAGCCATCTCTGTTTCAATTTGTAAGAAAACAAAAGCGGAAAGAAATTATAAAAAGGGAAAGGGTGGGGGGGGGGGAAGAAAAGGAACAGAGAAGGAGAACTGAACCACACAACCCAAAATGCAGGGTGAAATTGGAAAAGCAAAGAGGAGAGCTGGAACCACTTGGAACACAAAAGGAAAAGGAGATTTTACAGAGTTTTGATTGCTTGTTTGTTTCTTTAAGACCTTCCACAGCAATGCCCACTCCCTGGCAATGCCTATGCTGGGGAGAGCCTCTCTGCCCCCCAGCAGAGGTATGGGGGCTGCGGGCATCCATCCGGGGGTCTCACCACTTCAGCTGAAAAGCGAAGGGGAAGGGACAGTGAAGGGCAAGAGTGCAAGGAATCTCGTGCTCATTTTCACTCTCTGTGAAATTGAATGACTTTTCTCCTCTCCGTCAGCCAAATCCCAGCCGAAACAGCTCCCGCCTGGGCATCTGGGCCTCAGAAGCTGCCCGCCTCTGCCTTCTTTCCTCTTTTCTATTCATTCTGTCTCATATCCGGGGGTTTTACACGCCCCTCTCTCCACCGAACTGCTGCCCACCCTGCTTGTGCCAAATCTGGCGTTTCCCCAGGACTTGAGGGGACGCTGCAGGAAAACCAGTACCTGCCCCCCCCCAATACGTCTTCTGACTCATTTTAAATCAGAGCAAGGAGTGATTTTTTTTTTTTTTTTTTTTTTTTTGGGGTAGTGGTGTTCATCACAAACTCTCACCATCCTGGATAATTCTGGGACATCCTGGCCCCAGTCCTAGGACCTGCAGCGTCTTTTGGGTAAGATGAGTCCTCCAGAGACGGAGGGGGCACGAGAATCAGTAACACGGCAAATGAGCAAAGGAGGAAGAACGGAGAGAGTGGAGGGAAAACAGAAGGGGAAAGGGAACATCAAACGTGCTTCAGGCCTCAGCAGGACGGACGCACCAGTTAGGCCCATGGCATCTATGCATGTATCGTTTGGAAAGAAGAGGTACAATAAACAGAACAAATGCCAGCCAGTAAAATAAAACGGGGGTGTGGGCAAAAGGGGGATTGAGAGCAACCTACCCGGAGTGTGGACAAAGTAAGCCAGATAAAGATCCAGTTCTTTGATTGTGACTCCAATGTGATGTGGCTGCACGCACAGGCCGGGGTTCGAGCACTGGGGCGACTTGTAGAGCCGCTCCCCGTCAGTACTTTCCAGGGGGATCCCCTTAAACAAAATCACCATGACCAGGTCCAGCCGCCACACCTTGTCGGCCTGGCGAAGGCAGTCAATCCGCCGGATCTTGCCCTTCTGGTCGGGGTTGGAGAGCACACAGCAGGGGGGCTTCTTGCCCGTGATGGTCAGCACAAAGTCCTCTCGGAACTCGGGCCGGATGTCTTTGCGCAGCTTGGCCAGCAGCCGGGATGCCCACTTCTGCTTGATCTCGGGCTTCTCGCCCAGCAGCTCGTCCTTCACCGCCCGCTCCTCGTCCTTCGACATCCGCTTCTCGTGCTTCTTGAAGTACTTGCGCTTCCGCGCCTGCAGGTTGAACCAGGTGTAGGAGAAGGCGCGGACGTGAGGCAGCAGCGCCTCGATGAACGGGTGGAACTCATCCTGCAGGCGGCAAGCCGGGAGCATGCGGGGCGAGGGAAGACAGGAGGAGGGGAAGACGGGGTGAGGGGGAAAGAGAAGAGGAGAAAAGAAGCGTTAGGAGGGGGGCACGAGAAAAATCGCCTTCTCCGCCCCCCCGCACAACAATTTTCCCTTGCGATTGTTCTAGGAAAGTGTGGTCTGGAGCTGCCACCAGCCTAGCCAGCCGCTTGCTCCCATCTCAGCCTCAGCAGCCAGACAGAGACACCCAGAGCCTGAGCACACACCTATTCTCTCTCTCTCTCTCTCTCTCTCTCTCTCTCTCACTCACACACACGCGCGCACAGACAACGTTGCCGTCCACACACACACGCTGCTGGTATCCCCGCCAGGCTCTGTCGCGCCCATGACATCTCCATGTTCTATCGCAGCCTCGAACTCGTCTCAGCTCGCCACAGCACAGTGTCCAGTCTGCACAAACGCCCGTGGACGCACACGCAGGACATGCGGGGGCCACCTCACGCCCGGACACCGGTAGGTTTTTGGCCACCCCCAAGAAGAGAGAACATGACATCCACGAGCCAGCGAGCGAGGAAACGGATTTGGCTTCCCCCTCCCCAGGCTGTTTTCATTCTCTTTTCTCCTGCTCCGATTGGAACATCCACCCCAGCATTTTAAAAATCAGATCTAAACCCTAAATATGTGATTTCAGCTTTGTTATCAACACCAATACTAATGTTAATCTCAGTAATAAGGAAGAAAACGCTTCTTGTTAACACAAATAAGGTGGTGGTATCAATCAACCACATTAGGGTTAAAAGCTACATGGGGCATCCTGCGCCCCATCCCCACTGACCCCTTCACCCTCCTTCCCACTCGGTCAGGTGACAGAGGGCCGGGCTCTCGGTTTTTGGTTTTTTTTCTTTCTTCTTCTTCTTTTTTTTTTTTTTTTTTTTTTTTTTTTTTTTTTTTGCACGAGAAAAATCGCCTTCTCCGCCCCCCCGCACAACAATTTTCCCTTGCGATTGTTCTAGGAAAGTGTGGTCTGGAGCTGCCACCAGCCTAGCCAGCCGCTTGCTCCCATCTCAGCCTCAGCAGCCAGACAGAGACACCCAGAGCCTGAGCACACACCTATTCTCTCTCTCTCTCTCTCTCTCTCTCTCTCTCTCTCACTCACACACACGCGCGCACAGACAACGTTGCCGTCCACACACACACGCTGCTGGTATCCCCGCCAGGCTCTGTCGCGCCCATGACATCTCCATGTTCTATCGCAGCCTCGAACTCGTCTCAGCTCGCCACAGCACAGTGTCCAGTCTGCACAAACGCCCGTGGACGCACACGCAGGACATGCGGGGGCCACCTCACGCCCGGACACCGGTAGGTTTTTGGCCACCCCCAAGAAGAGAGAACATGACATCCACGAGCCAGCGAGCGAGGAAACGGATTTGGCTTCCCCCTCCCCAGGCTGTTTTCATTCTCTTTTCTCCTGCTCCGATTGGAACATCCACCCCAGCATTTTAAAAATCAGATCTAAACCCTAAATATGTGATTTCAGCTTTGTTATCAACACCAATACTAATGTTAATCTCAGTAATAAGGAAGAAAACGCTTCTTGTTAACACAAATAAGGTGGTGGTATCAATCAACCACATTAGGGTTAAAAGCTACATGGGGCATCCTGCGCCCCATCCCCACTGACCCCTTCACCCTCCTTCCCACTCGGTCAGGTGACAGAGGGCCGGGCTCTCGGTTTTTGGTTTTTTTTCTTTCTTCTTCTTCTTTTTTTTTTTTTTTTTTTTTTTGCTTGTTTGCTTGTTTGAAGTTTAAATAATAATTGATTTCTGTTTACAAAAATAAAACTGGAAAAAATTAAATAATTACCATTGATCTGAAGCACCCGGCAAAGCCCAACGCCCGATTCTGAGCTTCTGGACTCAACAGAGTTGTGAGTTGGGGGCGGGTGGGGGGAGGGGGGAGGGGGAGGAGCAGGGGAGGAAGGTAAATGTTTTAAAGGGGGTTATTATTGGTGTTCTGGGGAATAGGGGCCGGGCTTGGGTGGATTCTCAAACCCTTCCCCCTCCTCCCCCCCACCCATGCTCCACTGCACAGAAGGGGGAAATTAATATTTTTTTTAAAGGAGCAAAAAGAAAGAAAGGTCAGGGATCGCAAGCAGAGAGAGGGAGCGAGTTGGTTACCACACACGCCAGGTAAACAAAAGCCAACAAAAAATTTTTTTTCAGTTTCACCCCCTGTGCATCACCTTCCAGTTAAAAATAAATAAATAAATAAAAGAAAAATATGCAAAATTTACAAGTCAAAACCTACCTCCCACCCGCCCCCCCAACACACAACACGCCCTACCCCACCCCTGTGCAAAACAAAAATAAAAACAAAAACCAGGAGGGGGAAAAGCGGCAGCTGAAGAAAAAGGCTTTCGGCTTTGGCAGCGGCACAGGGGTATAAACTTCGAGCTGCCTCCCTCCGCCTCTGAGCCTGATCGCAAGCAAAGGGGGAGCTCGCAGATTCCCGGGGAAGAGGACGAGTTCGGACCGGCTGCAGATCGTCGCTGGCAGAAGCGTGCAAAAGAGGGAGGGAGCAAGGGAGGGAGGGAGGGAAGGAGAGAGAGAGAGGGAGAGAGAGAGAGGACGTGGATGGGATGGGGCTGTGTGTGTGTGTGTGTGTTGTGTGTGTGTAAGCCTGAGAGAAGGGGGCAGATCAAGAGATGAGCTGGAGATGAGGGGGAAAGAGGGGAGAAATCAGGATGACACCCAAATCAAGGATGACCTCTGGTGCATGGCGGTATATTCACCAGGGAGGAGCAGCAGGTTTGGGGGTAAGAGGAGGAGTTTTGAAGAGTAAGGAACTCAGTGATGGAGTCTGATCAAGTTCAGAATACATTTGGGCCACTCGCTGACAATATCAAATAATTTATGAAAATAAAACTCAGATGGGCGATGTGACTGGGCCGGATATCAACATGTGTTGCAAAGACCATAACTGATAAGACCTGGGTCTGCATCCCCGTTTACTCATCTCTAAATGAGACAGTTGGGTTAGATTTTATAGGTGTCTTTCAGGTATAAAATTCTGTGGCAGGTTGAAGAGTAAAGGCTGAGTTTGTAAGAAGAAAACTTTTGGAAAGAATCTCTATACAAATAAGTAATTTCCATTTTTGAAGTTGATGGTTTGAGGCTAACATCAATTTATTTTTGGGGCAGGGAAAAAAAAAAAAGGGGGGGGGAGGGAGAGAGAGAAGGATCCACCTATTTGGCAATGAGACATCCTCGGGCAGCCAATGGCTGCGTCCAAGGGGAGGAGGGAACCGGGCAAGCCGAGAGGGTGGGGAGAGCCCCCGGCAGTTGGAGACCAAAAACAATTTGCCCAATCGACAAGTTCACGTCTAATGAACAAGCAAAGTCCAGCAGTTATGAATTTTTCATTCCAGGCTCCCACTCGGGTCCATTTGGCAGCGGCCACCCAGCAAATCTGAAGGGGGTGAGGGGGACTGGGGCTGAGGAAGACACAGAATTTTTTTTTTTTAAGCCAGAAAAATAAATAAATAAAGGCCTGATTCCGGGCAGGCTGTCGGGCGGGAGGGAGCCCCAGAAGGCCTTGGGGAAAGCAGCTGCGCCTTCTTCTCTGTGTTTTGGTTTCAGTCTCTTTCTCTAAGGCCCGCACACTCTTTTTCTGGTTCTATTTCTTTTTTTGTTTATGGGACGCACAGGGGCGAGTGGAAGTTTTCCTCCCTGGCCATACACACAAGCCTGCCTGCCGTGCTATGAATAGAAAGAGAAGAAAGAGAGCTCGGAAAGTGTCGATGCCAGCAGCACTTCCAGGGCAGGGACCTGGCGCCCAGGGTGTAGCCACCCTTTTCCCCGGTCTGGCTGCTGCTCACAGGAGCACTCCCAGACGAGGGAGGCAGGCCCCCCAGCACCTCACAGCCTCCCTCTCCCCAGCCCCCAGCGAGCTCAGTGCCTCCCTCGGTGGCGGCGGCGGCCCACACCCAGCCACGCACGCTCCATTAGCAGTGAAGAGGGCTGCCAACGCAATGCAGCTCTGCTCGAGAAACTGCAACAGTTTATTAAAATAGCCTCCTGTCACAGCACTCCACTGACAAGCACTACACGCAGCCACAAACACAACAGCCAACCCCAGGAGGAAGTGACAAAGGCACGAAGATGGACACTACTTCCAAACACAGAGTCCTGCCTATGCACGACCACCACCACCACCACCACCTCCTGAACTCTTAATTCTTTGCTTTCTCTAGCTCTGTCCTCTCCACTTGGTCTGTGTTTAGTGTTTCTTGGTTGGAGGAGAGGGAACACTCACCTACCTGTGCCCTGTTCAATTCAGACTAAAGGGCCCAAACCATATGGAGGAAGGTGCAAGAGCGTGAAATAAGAACCCTAAAGGAAAGGAAGAGAGCTAATAAAGGAAACAAGAAAGCAGGAAAGAGCTCTATCAGGAAACATGAGACAACCTTGGGGAAACCGAGTCACCAGGAAGAGCTCTCCAGGGGAACCCCTGCTCTGGACCTTCCACCCAGACAGGAAGGTGAACATGGGGGAGAGAAGCCAGGAGTGTGGAAGCCTCCACTGGGTCCTCTCCGGTAGGGGCTCTTGAGCAGCCATTCTTTAGGCCTTTGAGAAGCAGTAAGGAGGGGACAGTTATTAAAGAAATGGAAGAGCAGAGGAGGACGTGAACACAGACAGGGAGAGACTGATCCTACTCAGAACCCAGTCCCTACAGCTGCCCTCTCCCCAGGCGAGGCTCAGCCCTCAGCTGGCAACAGAAAGGTCAGGGCTCACTCTCGCCCCTTTCTTCCCCATCTGAGACCCTGTGCTCGGTGGCCTTTACGCTCAGCGGAAAGGTTCGAGGAAGAGGGCCCGGGGTGTGCCCAAACAAAACATGTAGCCCTGGGCTGGCGCTGGACCCAGACAACAGGAACAGTGCCGCTCAGCACCTGGGACCCCAGTCCAGGCCCTGACTGGCCTGACTGGCCGAGAGAAACAGTTAGAGGCGAGAGAGCAAGAGGCAGGTGTCACTGCAAGACAGGCCTCTTAGGGTGGTGTTCAATAATTAACATCACGTTAATAACCAGCTTGGGTCCAATTAGTCAAGGATATTAGCTGAGTAACATAAGGTACCAAACCCTGTCTCTCTCCACCTTGAGAGAAGCAATGTTACTTTCTAAAGATGAGACGAAACAAACAAAAAAATATAATAAAGATGAGATGGTAGAAACTACAAGTGAGTTTATATTTGGCATGGGGGTGTGTTTTTCTGGTATTTTGATTCATACTAAATATTAGACACCAAACAGAAAACAGCCAACGTGAGCCTCCTAGAGAATTCTAACGTGTTCCATCTCACAGACCACCATGCCGGGTGCTAAACATGGGCAGATTCTGAATCCGGTGGTGCAACTGGGTAGGTGGCAAGGGAGATGGTAGATGGAAGGATCCAC